TATAAAATTTATATAAAATCTCTATGTGTGTATAATCCGATAATTACATATGCAACCACGAGAAATTATTGTATAACGTTAAATAAAATCGTATATTTTACCAAATTACTTCATAGTAGTGAAAAAAATTATTTGTAATCAGATGAAATCATGTAATCCGTGGGACAATATTTCAGCTAGTGGTTACCCCCTCGAATATTTGAGTATTTATTACCGATAAAATAAAAAATTGAAAATGTTTTTAAAAACGTGGAGAAGAGCAAGTGAGATCTATATATTTAGAATCACGTTATTTAATTTAATCCACTGGGATGCAGATAAAGAATGATAAAGCTTCAGCGATTGAAGGGCCGAAGGATAAAGATAAAAAAGAGAAATTAAGGGAAGCTAATGCCAGAGATTTCGAAGAGAACTTTCTTAATAATTTTTCAACTTATTAATTTAGTATATCTTTGAGTGTCGTTTATCATCTCTTTTTTTTAACACGTTTGATTGTGAATGTTACAAATGTTGAATACAACTGATTGCGCTCTGCCATAATTTTGTGGAGCGCCGCAAACCACAGAATCGTCCCTGATTTCGAGGGACGCTCTCTCAGCGCGCATTTAGCACTGAATGCCACTGTTGTTCGAATTCCCGTGTATTTCTGCACGATGTACGAGGTACAGAGGCAGTTATGCGAAATAATTTTACGGTTGCGAGAGAAAAGCAGTATTTATTATTTCGACGCGAGTATATTATTTGCCGCGTTAATTAACGCTCGAAGCTTGATTGCGTTGAATGCCGCGTCGTTCGTAGATTGCATTTGCATTTTCCTTCGGACTTATATAGAGCTCGCATGTGGATGACGATATCCATATTTTCCATTCGATTTCGCGTTTGTGACCGTTTGTCGTCGCGTGGATAATGCGAGTTAATTGGCAGACAAGACCTCCGTTTCTTGCCCTGATACCAGCGCGTCTCAACGTGTGATTAGCGTAAAATTCACGCGATAGCCGCGAACGAGCGGACAGACGCGAACGAACGAATGAGCGGATAAAGATTCGACTTCGCATCGCGAGGTATCGCCAGACTCGCGAGACTCGGGATAAAAACATGATTCGCATGCAGCGCGCGTTTCGCTGGCTTGCGCCGCGCGTTCAGTGCCACGCGTTGCATCCGCGGAAAGCGTATCGTCCGTCCGTCCGCTCGCGAAGGCAAAAGTCAGAAGGGAAAGAAAGGAAAAAAGAAAGAGAGTGAGAGAGACAGAGCGGACGCTGTGATTATCGCGCAACGGGATCAGGTACGATCGCTACGATCGTCTTCCTGGTCTTCCTGCGACGCCGGAAGATCCGGACAGCGAATGCGGACGCCGTGAATCGTGATTCCGGCCGCGTCGAGTCGTCGGCGTCGTCGCGTTTAATAGAGCGGACCGAGGAACGTGACCCGATGATACGCTACTACTGTTACGATACGGCTACTGTTACTACGCGCGCGAATGCGGCGACAATGAAGCGACGAGGTCCTCTC